CAATAAAGGAGAGGTCTAAATTATTATAGAGAATGCAGAATTTTTTAATTTCCTTTATATATATATACCCTATATATATATATATATATATATATACATTTTTTTTTTTTGCAAAGATTGCTTAATAATATTTTGAGTTTGTTTACATTACCAGTCTGTTAAACTAATTTGTCAAGTACTATAAGAAATAAACACAAAAAGGATTGTGGATTTTTCTCTTACTAATATTTTAATTGAATGGGAACCGGAACCGGAACCGGAATCGTTTGGCGGAACCGGAATCGGAACCGGAACCGGAAAATTTCTCACGATTCCCAACCCTATATATGACTTACCTCAAACCCGTCCCTAAACCTACCCGTCACTGGGGTTAATGGCATTTATGACTGTTCCCTTACCATCCTAGGTAAAAAAAAGATATGACTTACCTCAACCCCATGCCTAAACTTAACCGTCACTGGGGTTAATGGCATTTATGACTGGAGATTTGACTGCGTGTTCGGACACGCGGAATGACGCGGACGTTAATGGCGTAGACATATACGCATACATGCGGATACACGCGGATAGCTCAAAATGCGTGGAGATAACACGCCACCTGACTCGAAAGTGGCGTATATGTTTACGCAAAAGTCATGATGTCATGTTGCCACTATGGTCGGTGGCAATGCCCCGATCATGAGAGCGGAGATTGCGACCCTGCTGGCGAAGGGTGCAATCGAGACGGTCCCTCCAGCCGAGGTGAGGTGAGTACGGCCCCTACTTCATTGTCCCCAAGAAGACCGGTGGGTTACGACCGATCCTGCATCTGCGCATTTTGAACCGTACTCTCCATCGACTACCGTTCAAAATGCTCACAGCTAAACGCATTTTCGAATGCGTCCAGCCTCAGGATTGGTTTGCAGCGATCGACCTGAAGGACGCGTACTTTCATGTCTCCATTTTGCCTCGACACAGACCGTTTCTTCGGTTTGCTTTCGAAGGCCAGGCATAGCAGTACACGGTTCTCCCATTCGGGTTAGCTCTCTCACCTCGTGTCTTCACGAAGATCGTCGAGACAGCCCTTGTTCCCCTTCGCGAACACAGGGTTCGCATCCTGAACTATCTCGACGATTGGCTGAGACTGGCACACTCTCGAGAACAGGTTTGCGAACACAGAGACCTGGTACTTCAGCACCTAGCCCGTCTGGGCCTTCGGGTCAACCAGGAGAAGAGCAAACTTTGCCCAGTGCAGAGGATCTCTTTTCTCAGCATGGATATAGACTCGGTTGCCATGTCCGCGCAGCTCACGAACGAGCGCGCGCACTCACTGCTGACTTGTCTTCGACAGTTCGAGGGCAAGAGTGCGGTCCCACTGAAACTTTTTCAGAGGCTCCTGAGGCATATGGCATCCGCGGCAACGCCGCTCGGATTGCTTCATATGAGACCGCTTCAGCTGTGGCTTCGCGATCGAGTCCCGAGGTGGGCATGGCATCGCGGCTCGCTCCGAGTTCTGATGACTCCAGCGTGCCGCCAAACCTTCTTCCCGTGGTCGAACCTCAGCTTTTTTCGGATCAGTGTCCCTCTTCAGCGAGTTTCCAGGCATCTTGTTGTCTCCACGGATGCATTTACCACGGGTTGGGGTGCCATGTTCAATGGGCATGCAGCCGCGGGTTCCTGGACAGGACCCCAGCGCCTCATGCACATCAATTGCCTTGAGCTGTTGGCAGTACGCCTGGCCCTGCACCGCTTTCGAGCACTGCTCAGGGGTCAACACGTACTTCTCCGTTCAGACAATACCACTACAGTGGCATACATCAACCACCAGAGTGGTCTACGCTCACGTCGGTTGTCGCAGCTCGCCCGCCACCTCCTGCTATGGAGTCAGAAGCACCTGAGGTCCCTTCGTGCAGTGTACATTCAAGGAGACCGGAACCTGGCGGCCGACGAGCTGTCACGGGTCCGCCCTATCTCCGGCGAATGGCGACTCCATCCCCAGACGGTCCAGCTGATTTGGGACCAGTTCGGGGAGGCACAGACCTGTTCGCCTCTCGGGACTCATCCCACTGCGCCCAGTTTATTCCCTGTCCGAGGGCACGCTCGGCACAGATGCACTGGCGCAGAGCTGGCCGCGGGGCCCACGCAAGTATGCGTTTCCCCCAGTGAGCCTTCTTGCAAGGGTGTTGTGCAAGATCAAGGAGGACGAGGAGCAGGTCTTGCTGGTAGCCCCTTATTGGCCCACCAAGACGTGGTTCTCCGAACTCATGCTCCTCGCGACAGCACCTCCTTGGCCTATTCCTCTGAGGTCTCACTCAGAGACGGGGCATCCTGTGGCACCCTCGTCCCGGTCTTGGAGGCTACACGTGTGGTTCTTGGTCGGGACGAGGCAGGTTGAGTTCGCTGCCACCTGCGGTGGTGGCAACCATCACTTCCGCTAGAGCGTCGTCCACGAGACACCTTTACGCGTTGAAGTGGTACCTCTTCGTCAACTGGTGCTCTTCTTGCGGAGAAGACCCCCGGAGATGTTCGATCGGTGTCGTGCTTTCCTTCCTGCATGAGGGGTTGGAGCGTAGGCTGTCGCCCTCCACCCTTTTTACGTCGTGGCCATTGCCGCGTCTCATGATGCAGTAAAAGGTAAGTCTAAGGGGAAGCATGACCTGGTCATCAGGTTCCTGAGGGGAGCGAGGAGGCTAAATCCGCCTCCCTCCCCTCGTGCCCTCTGGGGTCCTCTCAGTAGATCTAAGTACTCTGCAGAGGCCTCCCCTGGAGCCTTTGCAATCGGTAGAGTTTTGGTCCTGTCCTATGTAGACAGCACTCCTGGTTGCATTGGCCTCCATCAAGAGGGTAGGGGACCTGCACGCATTCTCCGTTGACGAAGCGTGCCTGGAGTTCGGGCCGGCTTACTCTCATGTGATTTGAGACCCCGGCCTGGATATGTGCCCAAGGTTCCCACCACTCCCTTCCAGGACCTGGTGCTGAACCTGCAAGCGCTGCCCCTGGAGGAGGCAGACCCAGCCTTGGCACTGCTCTGTCCGGTACGTGCACTCCGCACCTACGTTGACAGAACGCGGTGTTTCAGGACCTCAGACCAGCTCTTGTCTGTCATGGGGGGAGCCAGAAGGGAAGGGCTCTCTCAAAGCAACGGTGTCTCACTGGATAGTGGATGCCATTGCTTTGTCTTACCAGCAGCAAGGTCGACCGTGCCCCCTTGGTGTGACGGCCCACCCCACTCGGAGTGTGGCTTCCTCTTGGGCTCTAGCGCAGGGTGCCTCGCTAACAGACATTGCAGAGCTGCAGGCTGGGCGACACCAAACACCTTCGCGAGATTCTCTAATCTGCAAATTGAGCTGGTGTCCTCTCACGTACTCGCTTCCGCCAGTACTGGACCCGCTCAGGTGTCTTCGCTTGCTCGCCATTCCACTCCCCGGACTGGAGAAGTGTGATATTCCTCATTAGTCTTCCGTTGAAGCCTTGAGTCCTCCAGCACCTACGATGCGGGCACCACTGCTGTTGCTCTGGATGCCGGCTAGGTGCCTCCATGTGCACGGTTCCCTATGGTAACTGTCTCATGTGTATTATCCACTATAAGCCTCTCTGAGCATGTGTCTTCCCTCGGCAAGCCATCTGCCACCCCTGGAGTTAAGTTTTAGCCACCTGCGGTTGGTGCTCCAGTGATCTCCATATGTAGTCCCTAATACAGCCATATGTGTATTCTTAAGTCCTCCCTACGGTAGGCATTTTGTTGCATGCCCCTCCCGGGATATGTTCCCAGTGTACCTTGGTATTCCTGTGTCAAAGTAGGATCCCTGGTTTAAGCTAAGTTCAGGAGTCCAGACTTTCGCAGGGCACTGGAAGACAGCTATGAAGATGGCGTGATGGCACTTACCCCCATTCTCCGTCACTTCTGACGTAACTCGAAGTGACTACGAAAGGGAATGTCTCGGTTACGGATGTAACCCTCGTTCCCTGAGTAGGGAACAGAGACGTTACGTCTCCTTGCCACTTCTGCTGTACCACTGGGTAGACGCCGAGTCTTGGCTCCTCAGCGAAGACATACTGCGGTTGCGTTCACTTCCTCCTTTTATACCCACGGGGTGGGGCGGAGTACGCTATGCAAATTCCTCAGCCCCAAGGCATTTTTATGCCATTGGCTCGTTATTAAATACTCGAAGAGGATTGGCTTTCTATGCGAAACCCCCATTCTCTGTCACTTCTGACGTAACGTCTCCGTTCACTACTCAGGGAACGAGGTTACATCCGTAACCGAGATGATATAATATAATGGATTTCTTAAAAGTTTTTTTTTAATCTTTATTTTAGCCACACACAGACCTCAAGATTCACTCAATGCATCTCAACAATGTTGATGAGCAGAATATTCAATTAGGAAAAGTAAATTACAAAGACAATTCAGATCATAATTTATTCATACCGCAGTCCATGATGGGAGCCATTAATGAGATGTGATTGGTGGCAGCCACTGCAACGTGGATTATTATTGTCACCATTGTTGAGATTCACAGGCTGATTATCGAAGTCTGTGTTTCTACATAAATTCATTTAAAAGTGTACAATCAGAACAATTTGTCTTAAATATTTTGAATTATAAGAAAAATACTGATAATCATATTTTGTAGAATCACAAAGCTGTTGCTAACAAGTTAAACCAAAATATCTCAATAAGTTTCCTTTTTCAGATCACAGCATGATTATGCCATAACATAACCAACACTATCAGATAACACTTTTCTTTGTTCATTTGACTGTTATAAACCAATAACAGCAGACAAACAACATTTAAATTGAAAGTAAAAGTGTCAAGAGTCCAACTAAAGTAAACGCTGATCGTGCGATATATATCACCCAGCCCTAGTAAAAACAGTGAAACTCAGGGTGACAAACGTTTATCATGAATGAAAATAACAGTCAAACATCAACAACTGAAGAAACATGTTCACATTGAACCAGGAACAAGCGCTTATTGACCATAAACTACAATAACATCATTAAACTAGAATAAAACGTGAATTAACAGAGAAATACTGGAGCTGACAGAAGATTCATATTCATTTACAGTCATCTCTATGATTATATAGATGATGTGTTATTCATTTCACATTATTGATTATAATAATCCTCTGAGATCCAGCAGTTTTAATCAGATCATCTGAAGGATTTTAATAACACATCGTGCACAATTAAAGTGTATGAATATCAATAATGGTGATAATGCAGTCACACAAATATTCAGTTAAACAACTGGAAAAATTTAAATTTAATGTGAGTGTATTATGTAATTTCACATTTCTGATAAAAATTAAAATGTGTTATATGGTACCACATTTTCTTTGCAATTTTTTTTACAGTGTGTGTGTGTCAGTCAGAGTGTGTTTGTCGTTTAACGTGACACAGAGACACTGAAGAGTCAACATTATCAAGTCTAAATCCAGCATAGAGTGGTTCAGTGAATGTGTGTGTGAATGTGTGTAAGTGTTTGAGTGTGTGTGTGTCAGAGACGCTGTAGAAGGACAGAGTGCCGGCCGACTCGTCCACAAACACTCCTACTCTCAAACAGGATCCTGAACCAGCAGAAACATCAGTGGAGATATTATTGTGACAGACAGAGAGTGTGTTATTATAGCGTGTCAGACTCCAGGACTTCTCATTACGTCCAAACCTACAATCAGCACTCAGTCCTTTCCTCTGGATTCCTTTATACACCACTGATATATGAGTATAATCACTCCATTCAGCCTCCCAGTAACAGCGTCCAGTCAGACTCTCTCTACACAGAACCTGAAAAAAACGATTAAATCTGTCTGGATGATCAGGATACGACTGACTCTCTGGCACACTCGTCACCTTTCTGTTCTCCTCAGACAGAACGAGATCAATGTTTGCTGTGTTTGGATCCAGTGTGAGATCAACAGCATCTGAACACAAGAACACACATTACAACAGCAACATCTACAACAACACACACTAAAACTGTGTTTGAGGACTTACATCTGTGTAGTCTTGATGTCATCATGAACTCTCCTCCATGGTCCACTCTAGAACACACACGCAAACACACACACAAATGAATGATTACTTGACAACAACAGTTCTTATAATCAATATATTTTAACAAATATAAAAGAATCTTAAAGGGGTCATATAATGGTACATGCACTTTCAAGTTGATTGTACTGCAATGTGTGTTGGCAGTGGTACACAACCATCATATAATGATAAAAATCCATCCACATCTCCTTATATTGTTTTCCCCTGCCTCAAATTGAGCCGTTCGACCGTGTGATGTCACTAAATGGAACGCCCACCCACGATTGTTGATTGACAGCAGCGTTTCAACACAGACTCGCCCTGAGCGAGCTGTCATCATAGTCCATCATTGTTGATATGCTGGAACAGAATGGCGTCTAAGCGATTGTGTTGTTCTGTTCTTAGGTGTAATAACGAACACAGCAGTCATTTTGATATTCCTAAATTTTAACCGCTGAAGACGAAGTGTCTGAATTTTGTTTTCGAAGGGAATATTCCCCACAAGCTTTTCTTCTCCTTCTCTTCTCCTCCTCTTCTCTTCTCTCTCTTCAATTCTTATTCTCTTCTTTTCTTCTCTCTTATTCTTTTCTCCTCTTCTTTTTTCCTCTTCTCTTCTTTTCCGTGTTCAGAGAGACATTCCATTATTTGATCAAGCGGCTTCGGAGTGTGTGACTGGCTTTAGCACGATTCTTCATCAGACGTTTCTGAGCTAATCTCTGGATTTATTGATGAGAAAGAGCTTGTTCAATCCAATCACTCCAATCACTGTATTACACATGAGATCACATTACAGCGGAGAATTTAAAGAACACTCGGCGCACGCATGACAGCGATGAGTTCAACAACGCTTCGCTTCTGATACACCGAGACAATGATGTAGACCGACAATTCAAAGAACAATGGACAAAAAAGTAACTATGAGTTTATTCTTTCTGTTAAACTGACGTTCATATTTGTTTGCAGACTCTAGCCCAGGGGTCCTCAACTCTGGCCCACAAGATCCACTTTCCCACTTTGAAGATAGCTGTGAAGGTGGCGTGATTACACGGGGGACCCCCATTCTCCGTCATCCAACGTAACTCTGAGTGACTACGAAAGGGAACGTCTCGGTTACATATGTAACTCTCGTTCCCTGAGTAGGGAATAGAGACGTTACATCTCCCTGCCACTTCCGCTGTACGGGTAGACGGGTAGATGGGTAGATGTTCCACGACTCATCCCATTGCGCGCCCTGTATTACTCTCTGACCGAGGGCACACTGGCGCACAGCTAGCCGCGGGGCCTACGCAAATATGCGTTTCCCCAGTGAGCCTTCTCGCACGGACTCTGTGCAAGATCAAGGAGGACGAGGAGCAGGTCATTTTGGTCGCCGCATACTGGTCCACCAAGACCTGGTTCTCCGAACTGATACTCCTCGCGACAGCACCTCCTTGGCCAATTCCTCTGAGGAAGGACCTCCTTTCTCAGGGATGGGGCACCCTGTGGCACCCTCACCCGGATCTCTGGAGGCTACATGTGTGGCTCCTGGACGGGACGAGGCAGGTTTGAGTACCCTGCAACCTGCGGTGGCAGCTACCATCACTTCCGTCAGAGCGTCATCCACGAGACACATCTATGCATTGAAGTGGAACCTCTTTGTCAACTGGTGTTCTTCTCGCCAATAAGACCTCCGGAGATGCTCGATCAGTGTCGTACTTTCCTTCCTGCAAGAAAGGTTGGAGCGAAGGCTGTCTCCCTCCACCCTGTAGGTGTATGTGGCTGCCATTGCCGCATATCACGAAGCAGTTGAAGGTAAGTCTCTGGGGAAGCACGACCTGATCATCAGGTTCCTGAGAGGAGCGAGGAGACTGAATCCTCCTCGCCCTCCTCTCGTACCCTCTTGGGACCTCTCGGTGGTTTTAAGCACCCTGCAGAGGCCTCCATTTGAGCCTCTGCAATCAGTTGAGATTAAGTTCCTGTCTCTGAAGACAGCGCTCCTGGTTGCACTGGCCTCCATCAAGGGCAACATGACATCATAACTTTTGCGTAAACATACACACCACTTTCGAGTCACGTGGCGTGTTCTCTACGCATTTTGAGCTATCCGCGTGTATGCGTGTCTACGCCATTAACGTCCGCATCATTCCGCATGTCCGTACACGCGCGTCAAATGTCCAGTCATAAATGCCATTAACCCCAGTGACGGTTAGGTTTAGGGACGGGGTTGAGGTAAGTCATATATTTATATAACGTTAAATCAACGGCGTTCATAAACACGCTGAAAGGCGATTGTGTGTCTTGATAGCACGCCAAAAATGGAAATACGAATTGGCGTGGCATACACACGCTACTTCATGAAATCAGTCTGTCAAGGGGGTAGGGGATCTGCACGCATTCTCCATTGACGAAGCGTGCCTGGAATTCGGGCTGGCCTACTCTCACGTGATCTTGAGACCCCAGCCTGGATATGTGCCCAAGGTTCCTACCACTCCCTAGAAAACCGGGATCAGGTGGTGAACCTGCAAGTGCTGCCCCTGGAGGAGGCAGACCCAGCCTTGGCACTGCTCTGTCCAGTACGCACCCACCGTGCTTACATAGACAGAACGCAGTGTTTCAGGACCTCAGACCAGCTCTTTGTCTGTTATGGTGGGAGCCAGAAGGGAAGGGCTCTCTCAAAGCAGAGGTTGTCTCACTGGATAGTGGACACCATTGCTTTGGCTTACCAGCTGCAAGGTCGACCGTGCCCCCTTGGTGTGACGGCCCACTCCACTCGGAGTGTGGCTTCCTCTTGGGCTCTAGCGCATGGAGCCTCGCTAGCAGACATCTGCAGACCTGCAGGCTGGGCGACACCCAACTTATTCGGTGTCTTTGCTTACTCGCCATTCCACTCCACGGACTGGATAAGTGCGATTATTCCTCAGCTGAGCCTTCTATTGAAGCCCTGAGTTCCTCCAGCACTGTTGATGCTGCCGCTAGTGTCTGTTACCTGGACGTTGGCTAGGTGCCTCCGTGTCCATAGTTCCTCCTAGTAACCTCCACATGTGTATTTTCCACTGTAAGCCTCTCTGAGCATGTGTCTTCCCTCAGCAAGCCACCTTGCCACCCCTGGAGTTAAAATTCTAGCCACCCTACAGGTTGGTGACTCCAGTGTTCCTCCATATGCAGCCCCCTTGGGCCATATGTGTATATGCTCCCCAGTGTACCTTGGTATTCCTGTGCTAAGTAGAACTCCTCGTCCATGCTAAGTTTCACGACAGGGGATCAGACTTTCGCAGGGCACTGGAAGATAGCTGTGAAGGTGGCGTGATTACATGGGGGACCCCCATTCTCCGTCATCTGACGCAACTCTGAGTGACTACGAAAGGGAACGTCTCGGTTACATATGTAACCCTCGTTCCCTGAGTAGGGAACTGAGACGTAACGTCTCCCTGCCACTTCCGCTGTACCGCTGGGTAGACGGGTAGATGTTCCACGACTCATCTCATTGCGCCCTGTATTACTCTCTGACCGAGGTCACGCTTGGCACAGACGCACTGGCGCACAGCTGGCCGCGGGGCCTACGCAAATATGCGTTTCCCCCAGTGAGCCTTCTCGCACGGACTGTGCAAAATCAAGGAGGACGAGGAGCAGGTCATTTTGGTCGCCCTATACTGGCCCACCAAGACCTGGTTCTCTGAACTGATACTCCTCGCGACAGCACCTCCTTGGCCAATTCCACTGAGGAAGGACCACCTTTCTCAGGGACGGGGCACCCTGTGGCACCCTCGCCCCGATCTCTGGAGGCTACATGTGTGGCTCCTGGACGGGACAAGGCAGGTTTGAGTACCCTGCCACCTGCGGTGGCAGCTACCATCACTTCCGCCAGAGCGTTGTCCACGAGACACGTCTATGCGTTGAAGTGGAACCTCTGGTGTTCTTCCTCAACCTCAACTGGTGTTCTTCTCGCCGAGAAGATCCCCGGAGATGCTCGATAAGTGTCGTACTCCCCAGTGTACCTTGGTATTCCTGTGCTAAGTAGAACTCCTTGTCCGTGTTAAGTTTCACGACAGGGGATAAGACTTTCGCAGGGCACTGGAAGATAGCTGTGAAGGTGGCGAGATTACACGGGGGACCCCCATTCTCTGTCATCCGACGTAACTCGGAGTGACCACGAAAAGGAACGTCTCGGTTACGTATGTAACCCTCGTTCCCCGAGTAGGGAACGGAGACGTTACATCTCCCTGCCACTTCCGCTGTACCGCTGGGTAGACGCCTGAGTTCAGTCTCGGCTCCTCAGCGAAGACATACTGCAGTTGCTTCTGCTTCCTCCTTGTATACTCACTGGGTGAGGCAGAGATACGATATGCAAATTCAGCAAACCCATGGCATTTCTTTGCCATTGGCTCGTTTTTTAATACTCGAAGAGGATTGGCTTTCTAGGCGAAACCCCCCCATTCTCCGGCATCCAACGTAACGTCTCCATTCCCTACTCAGGGAACGAGGGTTACATACATAACCAAGACGTTTAGTAGCCTAACTGCAAGCCCTGAAAATGTGTTAATTTTATGATCATTTGGTTTAATTTATTACACTTATGTTTCAGTTAATACATCTACTAAAAAAATAAATTAACACAAAGTAAAATCAAGTATAACCTATTGAAATAGCCTTTCTAAATTATAGAAAAACTGGGCACACAGCCTAATATTGAATTGTACCTACTTAAATTTGATGGAATAATAGAGGCCTTTTTTAGTTCACATTTATTTCATTTGAATTTACTTTTTTCAGCATTGTGATTATGAATTCGTTAGCTACAGTCATGGGCGTCAGTTTGGTTTGAAATGTGCTAGGGACAGAGACACATTCGGAAGGGCATTTTCAAAATTGCTGGGTACAATGAAGCATTCATTCTTTTTTCTCTTTTGCGAAGGTAATGTCTTCAAATACGATTTCCTGTAGCTTACTGATGTAAATAAATAAAATGTATACAAAGATGTGTTGACAGTCCGACCACGTTTCACTTGAATTAATCTGCTACTAACTTTCA